AGTGATTTTCGTTAAAAAACTAAGGCTATAGCCTTGGTGAAAATTCCTAGAAAAAATATTTTATTTTTCTATTGCCATGAAAATTTGTATATAAAGGTTGTTCAGGTAGCTAAATACGAATCTCAACTCAGTTACTCCTTAAAAAAATATTTGAGATATCTGTGAATAAAAATGGAACTATTTCATTCATAACTTTTTTACAGAACGATTGGGGAGAACGTGAGTATTTTGTTTGACGTCTCTATGTAATACCCTTTAATTTGATACCTCATTCGCCAAAATCCATGGTTATCAAATTTTTAGTGATTTTCGTTAAAAAACTAAGGCTATAGCCTTGGTGAAAATTCCTAGAAAAAATATTTTATTTTTCTATTGCCATGAAAATTTGTATATAAAGGTTGTTCAGGTAGCTAAATACGAATCTCAACTCAGTTACTCCTTAAAAAAATATTTGAGATATCTGTGAATAAAAATGTAACTATTTCATTCATAACTTTTTTACAGAACGATTGGGGAGAACGTGAGTATTTTTTTTGATTTCTCTATGTAATACCCTTTAATTTGATACCTCATTCGCCAAAATCCATGGTTATCAAATTTTTAGTGATTTTCGTTAAAAAACTAAGGCTATAGCCTTGGTGAAAATTCCTAGAAAAAATATTTTATTTTTCTATTGCCATGAAAATTTGTATATAAAGGTTGTTCAGGTAGCTAAATACGAATCTCAACTCAGTTACTCCTTAAAAAAATATTTGAGATATCTGTGAATAAAAATGGAACTATTTCATTCATAACTTTTTTACAGAACGATTGGGGAGAACGTGAGTATTTTGTTTGACGTCTCTATGTAATACCCTTTAATTTGATACCTCATTCGCCAAAATCCATGGTTATCAAATTTTTAGTGATTTTCGTTAAAAAACTAAGGCTATAGCCTTGGTGAAAATTCCTAGAAAAAATATTTTATTTTTCTATTGCCATGAAAATTTGTATATAAAGGTTGTTCAGGTAGCTAAATACGAATCTCAACTCAGTTACTCCTTAAAAAAATATTTGAGATATCTGTGAATAAAAATGGAACTATTTCATTCATAACTTTTTTACAGAACGATTGGGGAGAACGTGAGTATTTTGTTTGACGTCTCTATGTAATACCCTTTAATTTGATACCTCATTCGCCAAAATCCATGGTTATCAAATTTTTAGTGATTTTCGTTAAAAAACTAAGGCTATAGCCTTGGTGAAAATTCCTAGAAAAAATATTTTATTTTTCTATTGCCATGAAAATTTGTATATAAAGGTTGTTCAGGTAGCTAAATACGAATCTCAACTCAGTTACTCCTTAAAAAAATATTTGAGATATCTGTGAATAAAAATGGAACTATTTCATTCATAACTTTTTTACAGAACGATTGGGGAGAACGTGAGTATTTTTTTTGACGTCTCTAAGTAGTACCCTTTAATTTGATACCTCATTCGCCTAAATCCATGGTTATCAAATTTTTAGTGATTTTCGTTAAAAAACTAAGGCTATAGCCTTGGTGAAAATTCCTAGAAAAAATATTTTATTTTTCTATTGCCATGAAAATTTGTATATAAGGGTTGTTCAGGTAGCTAAATACGAATCTCAACTCAGTTACTCCTTAAAAAAATATTTGAGATATCTGTGAATAAAAATGGAACTATTTCATTCATAACTTTTTTACAGAACGATTGGGGAGAACGTGAGTATTTTGTTTGACGTCTCTATGTAATACCCTTTAATTTGATACCTCATTCGCCAAAATCCATGGTTATCAAATTTTTAGTGATTTTCGTTAAAAAACTAAGGCTATAGCCTTGGTGAAAATTCCTAGAAAAAATATTTTATTTTTCTATTGCCATGAAAATTTGTATATAAAGGTTGTTCAGGTAGCTAAATACGAATCTCAACTCAGTTACTCCTTAAAAAAATATTTGAGATATCTGTGAATAAAAATGTAACTATTTCATTCATAACTTTTTTACAGAACGATTGGGGAGAACGTGAGTATTTTTTTTGACGTCTCTATGTAATACCCTTTAATTTGATACCTCATTCGCCAAAATCCATGGTTATCAAATTTTTAGTGATTTTCGTTAAAAAACTAAGGCTATAGCCTTGGTGAAAATTCCTAGAAAAAATATTTTATTTTTCTATTGCCATGAAAATTTGTATATAAAGGTTGTTCAGGTAGCTAAATACGAATCTCAACTCAGTTACTCCTTAAAAAAATATTTGAGATATCTGTGAATAAAAATGTAACTATTTCATTCATAACTTTTTTACAGAACGATTGGGGAGAACGTGAGTATTTTTTTTGATTTCTCTATGTAATACCCTTTAATTTGATACCTCATTCGCCAAAATCCATGGTTATCAAATTTTTAGTGATTTTCGTTAAAAAACTAAGGCTATAGCCTTGGTGAAAATTCCTAGAAAAAATATTTTATTTTTCTATTGCCATGAAAATTTGTATATAAAGGTTGTTCAGGTAGCTAAATACGAATCTCAACTCAGTTACTCCTTAAAAAAATATTTGAGATATCTGTGAATAAAAATGTAACTATTTCATTCATAACTTTTTTACAGAACGATTGGGGAGAACGTGAGTATTTTTTTTTATTTCTCTATGTAATACCCTTTAATTTGATACCTCATTCGCCAAAATCCATGGTTATCAAATTTTTAGTGATTTTCGTTAAAAAACTAAGGCTATAGCCTTGGTGAAAATTCCTAGAAAAAATATTTTATTTTTCTATTGCCATGAAAATTTGTATATAAAGGTTGTTCAGGTAGCTAAATACGAATCTCAACTCAGTTACTCCTTAAAAAAATATTTGAGATATCTGTGAATAAAAATGTAACTATTTCATTCATAACTTTTTTACAGAACGATTGGGGAGAACGTGAGTATTTTTTTTGACGTCTCTATGTAATACCCTTTAATTTGATACCTCATTCGCCAAAATCCATGGTTATCAAATTTTTAGTGATTTTCGTTAAAAAACTAAGGCTATAGCCTTGGTGAAAATTCCTAGAAAAAATATTTTATTTTTCTATTGCCATGAAAATTTGTATATAAAGGTTGTTCAGGTAGCTAAATACGAATCTCAACTCAGTTACTCCTTAAAAAAATATTTGAGATATCTGTGAATAAAAATGTAACTATTTCATTCATAACTTTTTTACAGAACGATTGGGGAGAACGTGAGTATTTTTTTTGACGTCTCTATGTAATACCCTTTAATTTGATACCTCATTCGCCAAAATCCATGGTTATCAAATTTTTAGTGATTTTCGTTAAAAAACTAAGGCTATAGCCTTGGTGAAAATTCCTAGAAAAAATATTTTATTTTTCTATTGCCATGAAAATTTGTATATAAGGTTGTTCAGGTAGCTAAATACGAATCTCAACTCAGTTACTCCTTAAAAAAATATTTGAGATATCTGTGAATAAAAATGTAACTATTTCATTCATAACTTTTTTACAGAACGATTGGGGAGAACGTGAGTATTTTTTTTGACGTCTCTATGTAATACCCTTTAATTTGATACCTCATTCGCCAAAATCCATGGTTATCAAATTTTTAGTGATTTTCGTTAAAAAACTAAGGCTATAGCCTTGGTGAAAATTCCTAGAAAAAAATTTTATTTTTCTATTGCCATGAAAATTTGTATATGAAGGTTGTTCAGGTAGCTAAATACGAATCTCAACTCAGTTACTCCTTAAAAAAAATACTCACGTTCTCCCCAATCGTTCTGTAAAAAAGTTATGAATGAAATAGTTCCATTTTTATTCACAGATATCTCAAATATTTTTTTAAGGAGTAACTGAGTTGAGATTCGTATTTAGCTACCTGAACAACCTTTATATACAAATTTTCATGGCAATAGAAAAATAAATTATTTTTTCTAGGAATTTTCACCAAGGCTATAGCCTAAGTTTTTTAACGAAAATCACTAAAAATTTGATAACCATGGATTTTGGCGAATGAGGTATCAAATTAAAGGGTATTACATCGAGACGTCAAACAAAATACTCACGTTCTCCCCAATCGTTCTGTAAAAAGGTTATGAATGAAATAGTTCCATTTTTATTCACAGATATCTCAAATATTTTTTTAAGGAGTAACTGAGTTGAGATTCGTATTTAGCTACCTGAACAACCTTTATATACAAATTTTCATGGCAATAGAAAAATAAAATATTTTTTCTAGGAATTTTCACCTATAGCCTTAGTTTTTTAACGAAAATCACTAAAAATTTGATAACCATGGATTTAGGCGAATGAGGTATCAAATTAAAGGGTACTACTTAGAGACGTCAAAAAAAAATACTCACGTTCTCCCCAATCGTTCTGTAAAAAAGTTATGAATGAAATAGTTACATTTTTATTCACAGATATCTCAAATATCTCAAATTTTTTTAAGGAGTAACTGAGTTGAGATTCGTATTTAGCTACCTGAACAACCTTCATATACAAATTTTCAGAGCAATAGAAAAATAAAATTTTTTTCTAGGAATTTTCACCAAGGCTATAGCCTTAGTTTTTTAACGAAAATCACTAAAAATTTGATAACCATGGATTTTGGCGAATGAGGTATCAAATTAAAGGGTATTACATAGAGACGTCAAAAAAAATACTCACGTTCTCCCCAATCGTTCTGTAAAAAAGTTACAGGTTATCAAATTTTTAGTTATTTTCGTTAAAAAACTAAGGCTAGGTAGCCTTGGTGAAAATTCCTAAAAAAAAATAACTATTTCGTTCCTCACTTTTTTACTGAACGTTTGGAGAGTATGTGAGTATTTATTTAATTTGATACCTCATTAGCCAAAATCCATTAATTTATTATTGGCTATCTAAGGTTATTGCTATCAGAGAGTATTTTGTGGGTGTTTATATCTGATAAATGTTTGATGTTTTGTTTTATTGATATTGCATATAATTAATAAGTATTAAAGATTAATATATTTTCAGTTTTTTGAAACGTTGACATTGAAAAAGTTTCCCAAGTTATCTTATATAATTGTAACATGCTCACTTTTTGAAAATGTGAGTGAGGCTGGTTTGATGGGTATGTATTAAGATTTATTTTTCACTATTACCAAAACTAGAATGCTTCCTCCATTTTTCACAGGATAAAAATGTTTCACAGGTTTAATGGCAATATACTTTCAAACACTTTTCAATCTCGAACCTTCAGAGATTACAGTTGCTTTGCATTTGTACAATTTTTTAAAATACCTTGCTGTCGTATTTGGAGCAGTCCTTGCCGATTCGTACTTCGGTAGAGTAAAGTGAGTTTATATGTCTTATTAAATAATACCAAATATCAGATCCAAAATATAAGTATATTGGACTATTATCCATGTCTGATCACTTTTTTTCTATTCTAATTCTAATTTTATATTTATTCCAGAATGATTAATATTGGACAGTTAATAGTATTTCTTGGAAACACTTTACTGACTGTTTCTTCTATTCTGAGAATGGATTTTCCAAGCAGGTAAACAATTAAAAAGTTCTGTAATACGTTTTTAAGCATTTCTTTATTTAGCTTGCCTATAGGGATTCGAAATGTAAAAGAAATAAGTTAAAACTTCAAATCATATTCTGAAGAATAGTGACTTTCAGGTAGTGAGGTTTTTGCAGTAAATGGGCGATTAATATCTCAAACATATTAATGTTAATTAATAAATAACGGTTTATAACTTATAGATTTTAGGCTAAATTAGTACAATTCAGAGTGAACTCTCACATTAGATGGCTATCTTTCTCTCAATACAAAATGTCAATATATGTAACATCAGCGAAACATGTTAATAACATGATATTATTAATTCATTACAAAGAATTGGTAAAGGTGATCATGATAGTTAAAGTAACAATTTACTGTATTTAATCTTTATATGATTATTTTTTTACAAAAACCCTTTTTAATCTCACAGTTTTTTTACTATAATTTTAAAACATTTTCAGAAGATTTAAAAATTATTATTTTTTAATATTTCAGCTACAAGAGCCATTTTCAAAAATTCTTTTTCTTTAAAAAACAAAAAAAAATTAGTCATATTTAAAACATTATTAATAAAAATTTCTTAAAATATATCTGTATATGGATTCTATGTACTTAAAATTTAATTATCTTAAGTATATAGAAATATATATGCATAGACTACCTTAAGAAAAACATAAAATTGGTCTTCACTCCGTTTCCATTTGGAATTGGCCCATGCATCAAATGAATTCTTTTGTTGAACATTTTGTCTAGAATTACCTCTCAGAGTTGGGCCAATAAGAACCGAGAAATCCTATAGAGAGTGTAGGATAATACACTGCATAACCAGTCTCATTGTACTTATTCTCAAATTAATTACTTAGAAAATATAATAATACTTTAATATAATATAAATATAATATTACTTTTTTATTTAATAAAGATTATTCATGGCTATTTCTAGGTTTGTACTGGTTCTGTCATTATTTGCTAAAGTCATTGGTCCAGGATTCATATTGCCTTGCTTAGTGCCATTGGCTGCGGATCAGGTCGGGGAACAGAATACAACCTATGCAGAAATGAAGGCATTTTTCGTGTTTTATTTTGCAATGCTACAAGTGAGCGAGTTCTTTGCGAAACTGTTTTTACCACTCGTACTTGAAGTTTCTTGCTTTAACTTAGATTCTTGTTATCCTCTAGCCTTTGGAATTTCTGCCATTTTTTCACTTATACCATTACGTAAGTAAATGATAGGATATTATTTTAGAATAGAATAGAAAAGAAAAGAATTTTATTCTGGGACGAAGTCCCTTCAGAATAACAAAAAAGTACAAAATTAAAATGTTATATCTGGCCAAATAAAAACAAACATAAAAAGTAAAGATATAGATAGATCAGTAAAAAAAAATATTAGTTATACATACTATATACAAAATAAAATAAAAAAATCTATATACAAAACTCTTGAAACCTTACCAAGACACTTAAAACTATGTACAATGGTAAAATATAAATAAACACTTTTAGAAAAAATAAAAAATACAGAAAAAAATAAATGTAAATTCTTCTTAGCAGTAAAATCTGTTTCTGTTGAAAAAAAAAAGAAAGTCGAATCTATAATAAGTATTTAAGTTATGAACTATATGTGAATATATTATTATAAATAATATGTAATTTTACATAAAAGTTTAGCTGGTATCTGACTGTTTTGGGGACAGGAATTGAAATAGGAGGGTTTTGAATGTAGACAGGGATGAAGAATGCCGAATTTTGATAGGAAGAGAATTCCAAAAATTAACAGATCAAGCAATAAAGGAGTTTTGGAACGAGGCAGATCTGTGAGAAGGAATGTAAAGATAGGAAGGTCGAGATCTTGTGGAGAGGGAGTGGACTGAGGACTTGAATTGGAGAAGGTTGTAGGCATAGGAAGGACGATGATTGTTGATGATATGATTGAGGAATGTACCTAGGAAATATGGTCTTCGAATGGAGAGGAAGACCCACTCTAACTCAGTGTAGTGGTGAGAGACATGGTAGTATCTCAGGGCACCAATTACTTTGTTTTGATTTCATAATTTTATTTTTGTAAACAAATAATTTATTGTTAATACCATAACTATAGTGACCATTCTCCCATTTTGTAAAAATTTCAAGATTCCAAATCCACAAAAGAAAAAAGTAAAGTGTAGACATTTTGTTTTTTTCATGGTTCACTTCAAGATAAGATACTAATGATACTGGTTTAAAATCTCTTCATGGTGAATTGAATCCGTGAAGATGAGAAAAATAAAATTCTTATCACAAAAATACTCAAAATTCGATCAATGACAAGTTTAATAATTAATTATAAAAGAATTATTGATGAGAAGATTAATCATTTGAGTTAAAATGTATTAATTAATAAAACATTTAAGATAGATAAAAATAAATGTAGTTCGTCCACTTAGAAGCTCAAAGGAAAGAATCAAGGACAAATCAGTATTTGCAACTATAACACCTTGTTTGAAAACTAGATGATGATTTGTCTCAATCTATTTTCATCACATAGTGGGGGATCTAGAAATGAGGGAAGAGGGAGCAATGATCTTGTGTCTCGTGCCATACAAGAATCAATTAATTGATTTATTCATCACACTCAAATTTACAATCCATATTAAAGATTGTAATACAATTCAAAGTTATAAGCTGAATATGTATCACATACTACGAAGAAACTGCGAACTAATCGATAGATGCATGATGGGTCAAAAGAACAGCCTGGCATGAAAGAGTTCAACTCTTTGACTATGACAGCTTATTCGTGAGTTTCTACCATATGTTGCATCCTGAAATACTCAAAGCGTCCAAAAAACATTTTTTTTTGCATAAATTTGTTTAAAATGCTATTTAGAGTCATCCTGCAAGATCTTGGCTTTCAAAAATGCATTTTTACATTTTTATTCAACTTTTAAAAAAAGGAATATATGCCTTCCTGGTTGCACATAGCAATGCAAAATTAGAGCGGCGGCAATCCCGCAATATTTCTCTTTCTTTCTTATTTTCTCATTTCTGAAAAGCAATATAAATGAAAATTATCATAAAAATAACTGTAAGTGAACATAAAAATTAAATTATATTATTTCTAAAAAAAATGACACTGACGGCACTATTCGAATTATATATTTCTTTGTATTTACAAATTTTTTTCTTACCTATGTTTTAATGTTATTATTACTTATATTTATTTTGAATTTCAAACCCTTTTATATTATATGCAATATGTATATATATATGTGTGTGTGTGTGTGTGTGTGTGTGTGTGTGTGTTGTTGTAAGGTGGATGGAAAAATGATAAAACAACTAAAGCATCATTTTAATTCTGTAAATTTTTACATTTATTTATATAAATGTATTTATATGTATGTATATATATATATATATATATATATATATATATATATATATATATATATATATATATATATATATATATATATATAAAAGATAGAAAACTTACATTTATTTTAGTAGACAGAGATTCGTGTGTAATCATTATTCAGTCAAAACCAAATTATGAAAAAAAAAATATAAAATTAACTCATTAACACTTATTGGATGTATAAAACATTGAAATACAATATAAATAAGATCATGGATATGAGACAAATAACAGAGAAAGGACATATCAAGAGTTCAGAATAAATCAGCAGCTGATAGCTTCCAAATGATCAGAATTCGGAACAACTGCACTGATTTAGCTACAGACTGCTAATAAATGCACAGACCTAGCCACAAGTCAAATGGTGAAGGCGGGACTTACCCCTACCTGTTTAAGTGATGACCGTCCAGGTGGTAAGGCATATATTCCGGGCGCACCAGTGACCCAACTCTTAACAGGAAAGCATGTATCCTGTCCGCTGTCAAAGGGTTAAAAGCAATTAAACAATCCAAAATAAAGAAGACTGGACCGGATATTATAGCTGCAGATATCTGGGTTCAGTATTTTTCTGGTCTACTCAAGGAAGAGAGACTGGCCCATATTACTAAAACAACAACTAGGAAAACAGAAAACTGAGATCAGGAGGGCTTTCTAACCATATCAGTTGAAGAAATAACTCTCACTCTAGAAGGAAGGAAAAACCATAAATCTGCATGTCCAGATGATAACCCGATAGAGATAATAAAAAATGGAACGAAAGAACATATCCAATCCCTTTAAACGGATATGACTCACTGTATAACCAAAGGTGAAGTACCAGAAGAATGAAAAGATGGCCACATTCCTACCTCTAAAAAAGTTTGTTTGTACTATGGTGGAATAACAGTGACCAATAGCACGAGAACGTTATATGGCAGGGTCATTAAACAGAGACTGGAAGAAGGATATGGGTATATAACCCCCGAAGAACAAGCTGGATTTAGAACAAGACGGTCCTGCAGTGACCACATCCTTGTAATTAGACAACTCCTGGAGAAGACAATGGCACACTAGGAAGAAGTATATTTAATATTTGTGGACTTACAAAAAGCCCATGACGCAGAGAAACTGTGGGAAATGCTGGATGACTTCAATATAACAGCCTACCTTGTGACAGCCATAACAAACCTATATAACGATGGTAAAGCATGTGTTGAAACAGGAGCCTCTGTTTGTAATAGCTTTCTCATAACGGAAGGTTTAGAAACAAGATGTTCACTATCTCCACTTGTCTTTAACATTTATGTAGAAAGGGCTCTAAGAGAACGGAAGGAAAAATTTAGAGGTTTGGGCATAAAGATTGCCTATTCAATCCACAAAATGGATCCAGGATTTTGTTTTGTTTCAATTTTGGAGGGCTTTGGCCTGAAAGCTTTTTTTATATACATATGACGATCATTACTATGAAAGAAGAAGAAAGAAACTAAATACCTCTATGAAATAATGTTTAATTGATTCTTGTAATCCTATTAAAATTAATTACACAAAAAATATTACTTTTAGAGATAATTTTTTTATATTTCTTTGATAAGACTTGGCTGTATTTTACCTTTTTTGGGGGGGGAGGAGAAAGGGGAGCTTCAGCCTGAAGCTCCGTTACATTGTTTTTTGTTGTTATCTAGTCATCCAGCCTTGTCTCCTCAGCCCCAATGAAGGCCTAAAACTTAGGCTAAATTGTCGGGCCACAACAAAATTTCTTTTTTATTTGTATTTCTCACCGACTAATTTTCCAACCATATTAAAATATAAAATTAAAAAAGATATTACTCTTATTCACAATGATACTTTGATTAACAGGTGTTGTTTCTTGTAGTGGTTTTTTATATGGTTAAAAATCAGTGCTTCAACATACGCCCGCACCAGCCAATCATCATCCAAGGGCTACAATGCTGCATGGTATGTATATATATGTATGTACATGTATAAACATGTTTTAACATACACCAGTGTATGTGTGCAGTATATGGATATGTTTTTTTGTTTTCTTAGCAACATTCATAATATTTTAGCATGCTTTGATGATGAAAATTAAAAATAGAAAAAAAGAAAAAAGGGTCCATTGGCTCCATCATGCCGATGATAGATATGATGTGAAGTTCATAGAAGATATTAGGTGTACAATCGATGTCCTGTTTGTACCAATACCATTTTACTGGTCATTGTGTGACCAGCAGGTAATTTAGCAGTACTGTATAGTATTTTTAGTTTAGAAGTATTTTTTTTTCTTAATGATATTTACAACTGTATTAAAGAAATACATTTAGTAAATTTGAATATATGGATATAATGACGTGAAAACACTTGTTGAGAAACTACCCAATGGTAGCACTCTAATGATATGTCTACATCAGGATATCATGGGGCCATCTTCTTTTCAGACACCTCGTAGGGTTATCAGGAATTGAAGAGGAAGCAAGGTTCGAAACGAGAGGGTTGGGATGGTTCTGAAGTTAATTATGGAAGGATAGGTATCTGGATTGGGCCAGATCAGAAACATAAGGAACATTAAGATCATTATGGATGGTTTTATTTGTAACTGTAACTGTAAAAGTAGGGAGCATTGAGGTTTTTACGAAGGATTTTGGATTGTAAGGATTGGATACGAGAGGAATTCGATGGTTTAGTGGAGCCCCATAGCTCAACTCCGTAAGTCCAAATAGGCCTTATTATAGTCATGTATATAAGCCTTTTGTAACTAATTGGAAGTTTAGAGCGGTTTCTTGCCGTTTCAGTCTGGTATGTAGAACAGGAAGTCATAGGTTTACGACTTTAGAAGTATTAAATTTTAATTTTAGTCTGTAGCACTAATCTAAGTCATTTATTTACAAAGAGAACTCCTATCATCTTTAACAATTTTTCAAGAAATGGGAAAAACCAATATTATTTAAAAAATTAATTAACAACTTCTTTGTGTGTAGCACATTTCCGAAAATCACTGAGTATTTTAATAATTAAAAAAGTCTGGTGTTCGCATAACATAACTTTCACTTGCCTCTCTCTTTTGAACAAAAATTATTGTCTAATGGAATTGGGCGTATTTTTAATGAAGCTTAAAGAACACATTTGTAAATTTTGGTCATATTTATCAATATAAAAACTCATTAATACCATTAAAATAACACAAACTCTACTTATTATATCAAACATAGGCTATAAAAATCTTGTCACTACTTTAGTCTGAACCATATAACTCCTGTCTCTATATACGAAGAGAGATTTGAAAGTACATATATTTAATCAATGAATATGTAAGATAATAATATATAGAAAAAATTATAGGAATATTCACTTTTTCACTTTCACTTTTTACATCTATTTAAACTCTTATTTTTCCCATTGAAACGTAACAAAAGATAGTCATGAGCAATTCGATATAGCATTGATAGATCAAAAGTTATAACAATAATTGGCAATGGATAAATGTTATGATTTAACTGAGGAAAAATTCATCAAATTATTCACTAATTTAATGTTTAAAATGTTGCTTAATGATTTTTTTTTCATAAATCGATGATTTATACCTAATTATATATATGTATATATTATTAGCTCTAAAGTTATTGTGCTTTAGAAAATGTATTTAAGGTTATAAAAATAAGTTTTACTGATCTATGAAATATTTTTTTATTCCATTTATTTTTTAACACAAGTACAATAAAATAATTTCTAAACATATTCATTTTCTCGATTCAGTGGATTATATATACTTTTTTTTTAAACTTAAAAAAAAAATTAAAATTGCATTTAGTTAGGAAATTTCATTCAGTTTTCATGGAAACGTTTGTTTCTGTTAAATAATATTTATTTTAAGAAATTATTATTTATAATTTTTTCGTTACTATCTATTATCTTCTATTTTTAAGTTAGATATTGTTCTTTCTGAAATTCCCAGCTTTCCAACGGTATATTATATATACACATTTTGATAATTATTTCCAGAAATTCATTTTCAACATAAAAAAAACTTTTTTTTTATTAACACAATGAGAGAAAGTTTATTATTTAAAATAAACCCAATTAAAAGCACTATAGAGGAAAACATTTCAAACATTAATTATTTAAGCCCTGTTAGGTGGCATCAATGAGTATAAGACATTGCTAATATTAAAGACCACTTAATTGTCCACATTGATGTACTGATTTTAATCAAAATCGTTACAGCCATTTTCAAGAAAATTGTAAAAATGTGTAAAATCGATTATATAAAGTAGCACTTTGGGTTAGCCGATTTCATGTAAAAAAAGGTTGCTTTAGCATCCCAATCAAATACCTAACTTAAATATGTTTCAGTTTTGTACGACTTTTCATTTTTGAGCGAGTCTGTTCAAATACACACACACACACAGATAATGTTGGATTTGGACTTAAGAAACCTCAAAGGGTGCATTTTCATTGAAAACTCAAATTAACAATTTTTCATGATCGCAATATTTTCCCTTGTTATGAATTACACATATAGTTAAGTCAAAGTAAAAAAATTGAAGGCCCCATTTAAAACAAAAAAAAAGTTGATTGGGGTTCGGTTCAGAGGAAATATTGTGTATAATTTATTATAAATTATAAATTAATTAATACAATTAAAATTGTATCAGAATGTTTTAACCTTTTGTTAATAATTGAAATTAATTATTATTCTTAATTTTCATTACAATAAAACAGTCAAAAAAGCTTTTGATAATTTTTTTTTTTAAATATTTAAGAAATGTCACTCTATTAGAACATGTACCTATGAAACGAAAAATTGCAAAATAAATCTAGAGAATTATTCGTTATAATATAGAGTTTAAGGAAGAGTATAAAATAAATAAATTGTATAAGATTAATATTGCAACACAAAATAATGATCAGTTACTTTTTTTAACACAGATGATGCAGAAAACCACCTAGATAAATTGAAATTTCTATTAAAAATCAAAGAGAATTATTTTAATTTCCAGTACACCTCTTGGACGCTGCAAGCTGCTCGTCTGAACACAGAAATTTGCACCGGTTTCCAAATCATGCCTGAACAAACACAGGCTTTTGGACCTTTCCTTTTCTTGTTTTTCATACCTATCTTCCACTTTTTCATTTACGATTTATTATATCCATTCAAGTTCCTCAGGACTCTTCTCAGGAGAATGGTAACTGGTGGCTTCCTGATCGGATTGGCGTTCTTGATGGCCAACAATTTAGAATTGAGAATAGAGGTAATGCAGTTTTTTTTTTAGTTTTTATAATATTTTACATTAAATATTATATTACATTTTACGTTATACTTTTATATTACACATTAACATAGTAATTCTAATGTTTTTTCATCTGTAACTCAGAGGTAAAGGGCACCATGTCATATTTTTGTATTTGTTCGGAAAGCCAATTTTCCATACCTTTGTGCTATTAAAATCTGTTTCTTATTTACGAGATTATTTAATTTAAAAAATGGACATTATGTCCTTTGCCTCTGGTGCACAAATATTTATTAATTCATTCCTTATTATAAATATTTTTATCACTAATCATTCAAAATTTTTATTAATTTATTTATCAGATGTTTTAATTTATATGTTTTTCCTAGTTTTCATATGCTGATCTACCAGCATCAGACAAAGCTTATATGTATGTATTCAATGGAATTAATTCAGAGGTCAGCATCCAGATAGAGAATCATAATGTTTTCATACCACCTTATGGTTTTTCTCAACTCACTGTACAATTATCTGAAGAGGCATCAAAATTTGAAGCAATGATAAGTCATGATGGCAAGAAGATATTTTCTGAATTTACAGCAGCACAGCAAACGGTAAAACGATTAGATAATATTCATGTTTTCTTTTTTATAAATAAATAAAAATTATATTAAGTAACATTTATCTATTTACAAGTAATTTCATCCAAATATTATGGATTACCATTATCAGGTGTGTAAATATGAAAAACAAATTTTTCTACAGATGGATCTGGTTGTTAATGTAGTAACCGTTAAACAGCATTGGGCGCCATTTCGTTTATTTGATAACTGGTAAAACCATTAATTCTGAATACTATTAACAAAAAATGATCAATTTGAATGAAATAGTGAATTTGCTTCCTGATAATGCACCATCATACACTGCAAAACCAGTGAAGGAAACGATTTCCAGTAGGGCACTAGTGGATCCAGAATTTAATTTTTGGGGAGGGGCTTCAACCTGAAAGCTTTTTTTTTCATATATATGATGATAATTACATTAAAAAAACAAAAGGTACTAACTACCTATATGAAATGGTGTTTAAGTGATTCTTGAAGTCCTATTAAATTTAATTAAATGAGCAATAATACTTTAAGGCATAATTTTTTAATATTTTTTACCATAAAACATGGTTACATTTTACCATTTTGGGATGGGCTTCAGCCCGAAAGCTCCTCCCCTCCCCCCGTAAATCCACCTGTGCAGTAGGGAAGTATATGCGGCTTACTCATTATACTTTGCTTCTTCTGACTACTATTTATTTGCTTCAATGGGGCATACACTTGCCTTCCATTTTAGAAAAATGTATAAAAATGGCTTGCCACAAAAAATCAACAATTTTTCTGGCATGGCAATCATAAATTGTTAAAGAGTTTGGAAAAATGTATAGCTAGCTATACATTTTTCCAAACTCTTTAACTATGAACAATATTTTGAATTATATATTTTTTAACATTCTTACGCAATAAATGTGTAGTATTTATATTTATTTTGGTTTCATATTTATATAATGTTTTTATTGCCATTACAAGTAAAAATCATTCTGCCACTTATGTGTGTGTTATAAATTTTACTTTCGAGTTTACAGTGATTCTAATACCATGTCAAATATTTTTTATAGGCTATGTCATTTGCAGTTGTTGGTCCTGAGCCTATTGAATTCCTAAGGATCGGAGAAGGGAAATATGACGTTAGTAAACATGCTAAAGGCAGGGTTAAACTGAGGTAAGTGGTGATGTATTATGGTATTATTCGGTTTGAGTTTGGTATACTACGGGTATAGTATAGTACAAAGGTGTAGAACCTTCTTATTATTAGAAAAAACAAAATAATTGAAAATTAATTAATTCTTGTGCTAGATAAGTAAATATCGTGCATAAAGGTTTGGAGGCTGTCAATTCATTTTTGAAAATACAGATGTCCGTTTTTCAAAAAGAATATTCACAGTTGTTTGTTTTTCACACAAACATGATTGTAGATGTCTGCTTCTTTATGCAAATGGCTCTTAATTACTATATAATTAACTCACTTATGAACTTAAAAATCAGACTTAACTAACACTTTTACATTTATTTTTAAAATAGATAATAGAAAATAAAATCCCTGGTTATGCAGATGATGTAGCTGTCCTTGGAAGTAATCAAAAAGACATTGGGAAACTCACTACAACACTGATAAGAGAGGCAGAGCAGATCAGACAAGTAAATGAAGACAAAACAAAATATATGATAATAAGCCAAAAATTTCACTTCAATAACAGGATCTACATAGAAGGAAAATCATTTCTGAGAGTAGAAAAATTCAAATACGTTGGCTCCACAATAACCTCAATGAATGACCAACGGGCAGAAATAGACCAGTGTATAACTAGCGCAAACAGAGCTCTCTTCTCCCTTTCAAGGGTATTGAAATCCCAAAAAATCTCGAACTAAGGGTGTACAATGCTATGATAAAGCCAGTTCTAATATATGGCTGTATGACCTTGACACTAACCAGCACCCTAGTAGGAAGTATTGGATGATTTGAGAGAAAAATCCTCTGCAGGATAACAGGAGCTATCTGGGATCAGAGTACTAACACATGCAGAAGAGAGACCAATAGAGAACTGCTTACAGAAATAGGTCAATCAATATTCCATGATATGAAGGCATGGAGGTTAAGATGGGCAGGACATATAGCTCCTAGCAATCCATCTGGAAGCCTCTATGTAACAATGAATGCCTCAATATATGGCAAAAGACCCTGTGGAAGGCCAAAAAGCAGATGGATAGATAGAATCAACAAAGATGCAACAGATCTCCATGCAGATAAATGGAAAGAAATAGCCCAAGACAGGCAGAGATGGAGCAGGCTTGATAAGGCGGCAAAAGATCTACATGGTCTGTAACGACAACAGAAAAAAAAATAGGAAATAAAAATGTTAAATGTAACATTTGGATTTAATTAAAGTTTTACAAATCATAAATATACTAAATCACATCAATTACAACACTAGATCTATGTCAAAATCTCTATCTGCATCAGCACATTAACAAACATTATCTGGTAAAATACTACTATCCTGAGGTTCCAGAAGGCCAGGAGTTTCAATCATGCTTTAATACCATTCTAATCTGGTATTTTTCTTCCAGTTTTTCTAACATTTCAACACATTAAAGTTTTTCATTTTTTTGGGTGGAATGCTTGAGGGTATTTAATACAGATAATAATAATAAAAATTTTATGAAAGCTGTTATATTTATCATATCACATTAAAAATTATCATTTTCAGGATAATATGTGTCGAAAAAGTCTATTGTAAGGATATGATTCTCCGCTTCTACCCTAAAACTTGGTATATTCAGAGACCCATAATAGCTAAAATTAATGACGTTCAACAACCCGTAGAAATGAAAATGCTCTCGGGAGTGTAAGGAAAAAATTATTATTTTAATCTGAATTAGACAGAATAAGTTCTCTGTAGAAAATTAATAAAAAATAATTAGTATAATTTTAGCTATGAGGTCTACACAGATGTAGACGACCTAACACATTTAGCCAATGTTGTCGAGTTGGGAACTGGTGGAGTTTATAACATAATGGTCTTTCGTACGGAAAACAAAACAGTAAGTTGAATTTTATTAACTATCTATAAACTAATTTAACATTTAAATAAAGTTATTGTAGTTTTAAATTTTTTACAGACTATCAAGCAGTTCGAAATCACTCCATCGAATGAAATTAGTGTTCTCTGGATGTTACCTCAATACTCTGTCTTATCTGTGAGCATGGTACTCTTTCGTATATCTGCCTTGGCTTTTATTTATACAGAGGTGATTACTATTTTTAATAACTAAAGAAGAGATTTATACTATTTTAACAATAAAACCCTAAGATAAATTAGGCTAAAATCTGTTTGAATAAAGGGATTTTATTTATTGAAAAAAAAAAAATGATGAACAATAACAAGTAAACAAAAGGGAAAATTAAGATAAAATATGGGACAATCAAAACTGTCAAGCAGTTTAAGTACCCAGGGGAAATAGTGAACTATAATGGAGAAGACACCCGGATGACCTAAAGTAGAGAATTAAATTTGGAGAGATTGTGATATTTGACAAAGGATGCTCATAATGAAAAGAATCTTTCAAAAAAATCAGAAACTATGAAACAGTGGCTGCAAAAGAACATTCCAGAGTTGATCTCTGCCTCGGATTGGCCCTCAGGAAGCCCTGATCTCAACCCTCTAGATTATTGGCTTTGGTCCGAACTGCAGAGAATGGCATCCCACAGAGCACACCTTAATTTGGAAAGCCTCAAACAATCTCTGGTCCGAGCAATTGAGCGCTTTCCTCAAGAAGTGCTGCGTGCTGCTATTGATGACTGGCCACGGAGATTAAATGCCTGTGTCAAGACAAAGGGGGGGACATTTTTAGTAATTTTTTTTTTGTTTTACTCTCTATAGATATACATTTTATTTTCTAATAAAGTATCTGAAAAAATTAATTTTTCTGTTGAAATCAGTTTATATTTCCTTGTAACAATATTGATGACAGGACTAGGTATATTTAAAAATAAAAATATTATTTAAATGTATTATAAGCTATTATAAATAAAATTCAAGTTCACAGAATAGAGCCTTACTCATTCCTTACTGTCCATTTTGGAGAAGCTCTTTTATTAAAAATCCTTTCATCAAGCCTGTCCACATCCATTATAAAGTGTTTCCATTATGCACAAGTCTTTCATAATATAAAACTATAGGAACAATAAATTAGATTGCTGAACGGAAAATATGATGAAGAAGATGAAAAAATATAGAAGTGTCTACGAGAAATTTTACTATTCTAATGTTTAAACAAAATCTTATTTAGGGCAAGTTCCTAAACTCAGCGCTGACATTAGTTCCATCTCTAAACTGTACAAAACGATCCCATCGATGAACTTAGCGCTGAGTATAAGAACTAACATGAATAAATTTGACTAGTTTAGTTCTCCTACTGCTTACCGAAAATCTTGAAACATATATATCTTTTCAGACCCCAGATCAAATGAAATCCCTAGCCTGGTCAATGTGTTATATGACCCTGAGTACTGGCAACATCATAACAGTCATCTTCGGTGGAAGTGGAAAACCGGTAAGGTTATAAATTTACCGTAAAATAATTTTTTTTTACTTAGCATTACACTACTCCATCTGTGGTACTGGGGTTGAAAAATTTTCAGATGTTTTTGGTATGAATCAGACCTGGACAATAAGTATTTTAAAATACTATACAAAGTATTTTGTATTTTAAAATGCAGTTTATTTTAATTACAAAGTATTTCAATTGTTTTGAGATAAAAATATTTCAAATACATAATTTTAAAGTATCTTGTATTTTAATTACAAAAAACAAAATACTTACCTCTCATAATGTGTCCCTTTATGAATAATTCCTTAAAATATAAGTTTATTTTTGTGATGAAAGGAGTTATGAGACTGGAAGACAGTGAATAAAATTTATAAAAAAATTGGGAATAAATTATTTTTCATTTAATAATATTTCTGAACAATGAAAAAAGTGACATTTAATCAATTTTTTTTTTCATTTTAAATACTCTCCAAAGTATTATGCACATTAAATCTTTCCTTTTTATTTCCTCAAAAATATTATTAAAGAAAAAATAAAGGCATACTTTTTGTTTTTCAAACTTAACATTTATAAAGGAAGGAGATAGTCCGGGGTGGCGGTCATAAATAGGCTAAATAGTGGCAAAAATATTTTATTAAAAGCCAATGTTTCGACCCAACTTTGCAGGTCTTCTTCAGGGAGGTGTGTTCAGCTAGGAGTTTCACTTAGAACTCAACACTCAGTTCTAAGTGATACCATTTATAGCAATCAAAAACTTTATTTCTTAAATAATGTTGACATCATTAGGAACCTAAAACATTTTTATACCATATTATTTATTACTCATATTTTTAAATTTAATCCAACACAAACGAATGTAAATGGACTTATGGCACTTTAAAAATAAACGGCTTATACATATAGCATGTTTAGCAATACTTTTGACTACTTAGAAATTATCTAATTTTAGTAACAGGTACAAATATGCATATATCATTGCTTAAAATCCTAAAAAAAATTCTCCTCTAATGTTTTGCAATGTTGTAATAAAAGTATGGTAAAATATTAAAATATTTAGTTATGTAAATGTTTGATTATATCATAATATGAATGCTAGACAATAACGGGCTATGTGCCAAACGAAAACAAACAAAAATTGAATTAAACAATTTTTTATGAGCTAAATGGAATTACCGACAGCCTAAAAAGCGAGTTAAATGTCAATAAACTGACGGTTCCTATTAATGATTATGACATTTAGGTTTTCTGTAATGGCATTTGGCTTGTTTAAAATTGTATTAACTCAATTTTTTGGTTTGGTACTTGACCCATTGTGGATGTTCAGTCTTCATATTACGATCTATTATATGTATTCATAAACTTATGAGTGATAATTATGTACTCAATTGTTTCAGTCGACCTCCTTCCTAATATTTGGCTTAGGAATGTTTCTGGGTATGTTACTCTTCATATGGTCAGCCTCTACGTTCAAATATACCCATAAATATCCAGACAGGCGATCTAGGAAATCAATATTAAATGTTTTTTAAATTTAAAATTTTGTTTATTTTTTTTTTGGGTGTGGGTTACTGGTACTATGGCCTACTGTATGCAACATACATACATATATAACATATATATATATATATATATATATATATATATATATATATATATATATATATATATATATATTGTTATGATTTTTATTTATCAAATATTAAATTCAAAAATATATACATTGGAGTTAGAAATATAGTGGGGCTAAGGACGCAACCCCCACTCACCACTTGTCTCACTTACCTCAGTCTTCATCCGGCCGTCGGACGCTCTCGAGAGAACATATTCACAGTTTTCAGGCGAGTATAAATCTAAATAAACACCATCTTCAAGTGAAGTATCAGTATCAAGATTATGCAGTATAATACATGAGATCAGATTTATTAGAAAGAAAGTATCAAGAAGCTGCAACAGTAGCAATTTATTTATATTTTTTGTTCACTTATCATAAAATTCGTTTTTATACTAATTAAAAATGTTAACGTAACAATGTTGTTTATTAGATCCTTAACAATTCACAGTTTACGAACCATTTAAGCCTGCAGTTCCCAATAAGTTATAGTAACATACAGAAATTTAAATCAATATTTTTTATTTTATACATTTTTAAAATATATCAGAACAATACATTTGTGAATATTTTGTAAGTAATATTGGAGAATTAGTAAAAAAACAAATATGAGTTTCAATTTGGTGCAGTTGAACTACAGAAGATGTTACGAGAACTTTAGTGTCCAGCGGGAGGTCAAGGAAAAAAAGTATTAATGAAAACACTTGAAATATATCCTGTATTTATTTCAATATTTACAAACAGAAAACAATAAATAAATAAAAAATATATTAACTTAATAGCTTTTAAAATCTTTTTTTTTTTTCGACATAAATAAATCCAAAAATCTTTTAGTAATAAACAATACAAAAAAAACAAGGAAGTTGAACAATGCAAGGCAAGGGATGTTATAAATCTTTGGTATGGCACATTGTCTGTAATAAAACTAAAACATCCTCCTATAACGGTGGTTTATACTTTCTCTATTCTTTTTGTTTCTAAACAAAACATTAAAAAAAAAAAAATCATTAATTAATGAAAAAAAAGTGTCCATCTTTTACGGGTACCTGGATAAAATAAATGTTTAATGCAATTTCTTGCTCAACGGCTGGGTAAGTATGTGCTTTGACCGAGATCACGCCCATCTGCCAGGTATTTCATCTTAATTGAATATTTAAATAACAGTGCCCAGTTTATAGAGGCTGGGTGTTCCTAAGGGTGATACAACAAAATAAATAATTACCTGCCACAGCTGAACTTAAACCTGGAACCTTGAGCATAGGATCACAGTTACTCACTGACCAAACCTGCTCTCCTTATTTTTTTAAAATTAATTCGATAAACTACAGAATATTAACAATCTCATAATTTTATTTATTTAAAAGTCATAATTAGGTAAATAAAATATTCCTAATTTATTAAAGCCTCTTTAAAATATTATTATTTAATTGGCTACAGAAAAATAGTAAAGTATGGTCACTTTTTTTTCCACTTCTCAGTACAGAATTAAAATGGAACATGAACATATGCCATAAAACTTCTGTATTTTGTCTAACCAATGTAACTTTTTAAATTCATTATAGCTTCTTAACCATATTTACGATAAACAATATATAACAATTTGGAAAAAAAAAAATCTAGTTCAAATTTATAATTTCCAGTTAATTAGGTCCCAACTGTGTTCATTTACACATATTTTCATTACAATATTCACATATGTTTATTATTACAATATTGCATTTTTATAATATTTTTTTTCATAATTCACAATTATTATTATCACAGATAAGAGTAGCACATCTGTCACTTTTCTAAGCAGTTTAAAAAAAACAAAAACAAATCCTTCAATTTTTAAATAATGATATGATCGTATAATGAATAAATAATAAATATATAGATGTTAACGATGAATGTGAAATTTAAATATAAATAATTAGTTTTAACCTCTTTTAATAATATTTCACACAAAAATGTTAGATTACCATTTAGGTAATCATAAATACTTTAAATAATATAAACAATACCGTCCTCATAAGCTGAAAGACCTTAATTACAATCTGTAGTGTTTCTGAATTTTTCTTTAAAAAATTGAACCTTTCGATAACCACAATAGAAAGTTCTATAACAAATACAGTGATAAATTATATTGAGAAACATAATATGTGTATTATATCCATTTAATGTCCCTATTAGAACAACTTTTACTTATCAAAAGCATGTATCGAAGTTTTGAAATAAAGAAATATTTGTTAATCAAAGATAAGGCTTTCTATGTCATGAGAACAGTATAATGTTAAACAATTTTCAAAATGATAATTTTGACATGGGTTTTAAAAAGACATTACTAATTAACATTCATCAGGAATAAATAAAATCTATGATATCAAGAATATCATTAATCACTACAGCTTAAACACATAGACTGAGCTTTGCCTTCCAATGTTGAAAATACATTCTCTAATCCCTATAAGAATCTTAAAATCCTAAATAGGGCAAATTCGTAAGCTATAGAACACAATCGGTTACAAAGTCTTGAAGCTTTAAGGATCATTATAAAAAAAAAATCGCATTCAAATCACGAAGATGGCTACTTGAACTAATTAACAGCATAAAAAAAAGTAAACATAAAGAAATTTAATCATCAGTACATTTATTATAAACTATACAAATATAAATAAATATTTAAACTTTACAATCTTATTTACAACATACACAACACATGTGCAGAATATTTATTTTAAAAAATTACAGATCTTAATAACACAACCCAAAAACTTAAAAAAAAAAGTTACATTTCGAGATCGGACACTTTCTGCCTTGTGGTGCTTAAAAACATCATACCAGACAAACAACGTTTGAACACAGAAAACAGCGCTCAAAAACTTGATTATTGACGAGTTTGTATTGGTTTATTATAATTTAAGAGAAAATCCAAAAATATCATCAGCATAGAAGAAAACCGAGACTAAATGGAAATAAGGGGAAGAAACAGATCCTCTTTGGAGTACAGAAATTTCTGTAATTATTTCTATCCATTCACCACTCACAATTTCCTGTATTTTTTTCATTATTATATCTGTAAATTACAGTTTTTATCACCTGTTTCACAGCCCTCTTTGTTGTCAGTTTACAAGAGTTTTTACCGGAAAAAAATAATTAAAAAAAGATGCATACAAAATTGAAAATTTAAGCTGTTTTTTCTTCTATAATTTTTTTTTATTTATAATATTATTTTTAAATACAGTACAATCTCAGTAAAGTGAACTTGTATAGTTCAAACATTTCAATAATAAAATCCCAGAAAAAAATAAACAAAAGAAAAGAAAATCAGTGAGAATGAATGGTGGAAAAAGTTCTATTCATAAAAACAAAAAGGGAGGGGGAGGACATAGAGAGCAAAAACAACAACTTTTTAACAAAAGTACTTCCTACATTTAATAATGTCTGATCCAAATTTTACATTTTGGTTGAAACAACATTCGAATGTTGTTAAAAATGCCACCGAAACAAAAATTTAATTTATTTATTTAAGACGGAAAAAAACATGGAGTAAATCTATTTACAGATACAATTTCAATGTTTCAAAGTAGGCATATATGTATATATATATCTACATATTTGGTAAATTGATTTATTGAGTTTTAATCTTTTAATATAAATAATTACTCCAAACTTTCTGAAACCCAAACACTACCGTGATGCAATTAATAATTTTTATTGTAATTTCAGTATATTCTATTTTTTTTTTTTTACATCTCAAAAAACATTAACAATTTAACTAGTAATACAGTGTTTTTTGAATTAATAAAAAAAAATGAGATTCATAAAAAAATAAGTGCTTAAATAGGGTGCTGTTTGCTAAATTTAAAAACTACTTTGTTAATATTTAATCGTTGGGATTATTAAATAAGGCGCTCAACAAAAACCAATTCACACGTTAACTAAGTTTATACCCTGATAAATTATCTCTAAAAAGGTTTCATCGTTCTTGATTTCAAAGGACTCGTACTTTTGACACAAATATATAAAATTCATCAAATATCAGTATTTATCAACAAATAGGTTTACACCTAAACTTTAAATGAAAATACTGAACCTATCTTGCTTTGATTTCACTCATATTAAAAAATATGGATTGCATGTCATGGAATATAGTTGCATAAATTCTTTAGGATTTTGCATAGTTGAAAACACATCTGATTGGAAGAAAAAAAAAATGATGTTAGGTTAGGAGACTCATACTGGTTAATTTTTAACAAAGTATGTCAAATATACTTAAAAGATAATGATAAAAAACAGGTTAAACTCAATTTCAGGAAGAACAGATCAGAATAAAAAAAACATGTCGACATAATTATTTGATATAGAACTTTTGGCTGATATCAGTAAAATAAGTTAGAATCTTAAATTAAAATAAAATAATTACAAATTTATTTCATCAAGAGACAAAAAAAGTGGGCATTGCGTGAACAACAAATATAAATAAAAACCAAACATAATGGCAATTATAGAACTAAGGGTTATTCAGATTGAAAATATGAGTCATAATAAAAGCAAGATCAAAGAACTTATTCCGATTTCAAGAATTGTAAAATAATTGTAGTTTTTATGGGGAGAAAAAGACTTCAAAATTGATTTCTTACTCATAAATAAGACTTCGTTCTCTATAGTCTTTATGAAAATTTAAAAATATTGCTTAAATTATTTGTGAGATAACAATTAAGAGTATCTCTGAAATGTTATCTCACTGTGCATTCAACAATCACTTTCTTTATAACGAACGGACAAAGAGACACTTTAATAATCATGTTCATAAATTTGTATATGGCGAATAAAATCCATTGCAGAACTTTAAACAGCTGACAGACATTAAGAATCTACTATGTTTAAGGTCTAGCACAAAATACTTAAAACATTTCTACATTAATAAACTTCTGAAAAATACAATTTTCAGTCTCCATATCTTTTTCAGGTATTTGTTAGATAGCCGGGAGGGACGAAACCTCCTTTGTAATCTAATGTTATATCATATAACCTCCCTTCATATCTCGTGTAAGCTTTGAGTTATTCCATTGTTTATTTTTGTTCCATTTGTGTGATTTTCGTCAAATTGTGGATGTTATTATATTCTGGGAATTACCATAAAATTCATTTATGGGTGGTCCTATAATTTAACAACAGTATAATATATAATATAATTTTGTTGATCCATCAAGTGGGGTCCATACTCAACACATAGAACGATTATGGTGTTCAGCTAAGTGGAGAAATAAGAAACATAGCGGAACTGCCACACAACACCTCGATTCATATTTATGTGAATTTTTGTGGCAGCAGGCTCACAGAGAAGAGGACCCCTTCCTCACTATTTTAAATAGCATTAAACTATTTTGTCTACCAAAATAAATTAAGTGAAAATAAAATTGTTTTATATGTACATATGTTGTTTCTAGTGTTTCTATTGTTTCTTTTATATGTGCATATGTTGTTTAAGTTGTTTTTTTATTATTTCATTTGTTTTTTTATTATTACAGTTATTTTTGTTTATTTCATGTATGTGTTGTAAAATTAAAGTGTTTTGTTATTGTTTTGGGAAGGATTGCATTTCTTTTTGTCTATTTCAATTTCAAATTAAACTGTTTTGTTATTATTACATTTTGTTTACAATATCAGTAATATGAATATAATACAATATGAATACGAAGATAGGAATTATCACTGCCTTATCATAATTATCAGTGTTGAGGTTATAAACATTGGGTGATAGCAGTCGGTCCCGCCCAGCTATCTAACAAGTACCCTTTTTCAAAACATGTTATATGGATTTAATTCATATCATTAAAGTTGAATGATGTAAAGAAACATCACTATATTTTTAATTGAGATTTATGGTGTTTTTAAAACAGTCTATTATATATACATATTTTTTTCCATTTAATTAAATAATTTTTAACGATTCTGAATTTATAACTTCATTAAATGCGATTTCCTAGGTTCAAAAATATCATTTTAATAACCTACAATAATATCAAAGAATCATTTTAAAAACATTATGTGATACTTTTATGATTTAAACAAATACCTCATATTGAAACAGGAAAAATGTTATTTTTTGACCACAAATATGAAAAATTCTCTAATTAAGGGTTATATACTTAGGAACTTCAAAAAGTGACTTTGTCAATGTCACTGACAGATTTCATCGAAACATTTTGAATTTTCTCTGAATATCCATTCATACAAAATGTGACACAATGGCAAGATACAAAATACAATACCGACATGTAGGTAATTAGTCCTCGAACAGAGAGATGACAGAAGGAAGAGTTGACTCGCGAAATCACTTCGACGAATTGGCCAATTCTTGCAGCTGCTGGTGGCACTCCTGCTGGAACATGGCATTGTCCAGTCGGGTGATGGCCTCGTCCAGTTCCTGTGCCCAGTCTTCCTGCTTCCCTTCAGACAGCTCTCGCACCTTCTGCCTCAGCTCCTCCAGGTCCTGTGCATTCCCCTCACATCTTAGTCTTATCATCGTCGTCTACCTCCCGTCTAGGTAATTTAAAACAGTGCGAAAAAGAAATAAAACAGAGCAGGAAATAAAAGAAGTGAAAGTAAAAAAATTAAAATTAAATAAGACTAAAAAAAAAAAAAATGAAGAAAGAATAGTAACTACATAAAAAGAACAGATATCTTTTTGAAATAAAGATTATTTAAAAAAAAAATGAGTAAAAGTTGATATAATTGAAAAAAAAAAAAATTGTTCAAGATTAAAAACTGCCATAGAAAATAGAAAAATTAATTGAAAAAATTTTTGAGAAAAAAAGATAAGTTTTTTTAAAAAATACAGAAAGATATATACAGGAAGAACAGCGGTGCCCAGAAAGGTGTTGCACCATCAAAATATTTCAGAAAGAAAAGTTTCAAACAAAACAGAGAACAAGAGGAAAAATGATAGATCAAAGTAAGAGTAATTTAATACGATCTATTATTTTTCTAATTTTACTTTCCCTTGGACTGTTTTTAAGAAGAGGGTACCAATAAAAGTTCTTGGGAGGGAGCTTAGGAGGATGGGCACCCCTGTATTGGAAGATTAACCCTTATTAACACTGTATTAAAAAAACAAACCCTTTGATCTCCTAAATTCTAGTAATAACGGATCAATTGTTTCCTACATTTAACCACAAAGATGAAAAAGAACAAGACTATCAAAAGAGATATTACATCCCACTTCAACAGTTATAAAAGACTTACCGTGTATGGGTTGTAAGCCAATGGTAAAAAAGTTTAATAAATTCCACCCTCTCACCTAAATTTTGTGATTCTTATAAAATTTTAAATCTCTTGCCGGCTTGTAATTTAACAACAATAATTAAGCAACTGTAACTAAGACTTAAAAGACGCCTTGGGAACGATACGCGAACTCATGACTATTTTTGTGTCATTTTATCATATATCCGGTTGTCAAGCAACGATGGTGCTGTGCACAAGGCTTTAGCCCATTCGGCCACCCCACCCACACTGTAACTACGACTACAGATAGGAATGTTGTAAAGAATATTACATCTTCTTTAAATTTTTGTTGCAAATTCATGGTATTCTCTTGCCTATAAAGCCTCCCACTCACCTAACAGCCCTCTATATATAAATATAATTTATTGTAATTCATTATCTCAATTTGTTAAATATTTATTTTCTTAAACACTACTCAATGAAAGATACTATCTTTTTCTGCCCTGATGATATTTGAATTGTTAAAACCTTTACAGCTTAGTTATTAACAGCTTGTTTGAAAAACTTATGACTTTATATTAGAATCTTCATCAATATTTTCACTATTTCAATTTTCAATATTTGTATTCTCATCATTCTAAATAAACTATAAATGATGCAAATAACAAGTTTTAAATTAAAGAAACATTCCACTATCCAGCAATGTCATCGTGTGGTGGATGTTATCTCCACTTCATTGGAGCGCGGAATGTACTGCACGGGAGTCTTTCTCGATGTAGAACAGGCTTTTGATCGAGTCTGGCACCCAGGACTGCTTTACAAACTCCATAAATTCCTAGATCCTAGATACTTCCTCATTATTCGTTCCTACTTAACTGATAGGTACTTCAAAGTAAATCACAATAATGCTTATTCATCCCTCTTTTCCCAGTCCGCTGGTGTTCCTCAAGGTAGTATCCTAGGTTCTATCCTTTACACAGTTTATACAGCTGACATCCCAACAATGTCATCACCACGTATGCCGATGACACATGTGTCCTATCAGTTAATAATGATCCAATAATTGTATCCCAAACTCTCCAATCACACATCACAAACCTCGAATAATGGTGTCAAAATTGGAGGATTAAAATAAATTCCAATAAATCCCGTCAAATAACCTTTAGCCTTTGTCGTAAACCTATGACTTCCTGTCCTACAGTATCCTTTAATAATAGCCCACTTATCCCTGTTGAACAAATTCGATATCTTGGACTCCACTTGGACAAACATCTAACTTGGAATCTTCATACCAGACTTAAACGACAAGAAACCGCTCGACGTTTCCGACTACTCCAGCACTTACTAGACAAACGCTCTAAGCTTCCAGTTAATTACAAAAGACTCATATACATGACAACAATAAGAGTTGAGATTTGGGGGTCCACAAAGCCATCAAATTCCTCACGCATCTAATCCTTACAATCCAAAATCCTCAATGCTCCTTACTTTTTAACTAATAAAATCATCCATAAAGACCTTAATGTTCCTTATATTTCCAAATTGGCCCAATCCAGATACCTATCCTTCCATAATAAACTTCAGAACCATCCGAACCCTCTTGTTTCCAATCTTGCTTCCTATTCGATCCCTGATAACCCTCCGAGGCATCTGAAAAGAAGATGGCCTCGAGATCTTCTATTGTAAATACAATTTTTTTTTCAGAGTGCTGCCAGTGGGTAGTTTCTCAACAAGTGTTTTCATGTTTTTATTTTCTGTTATCACATTTACTTAATGTATTCTTTCTTAAAACAGTTGTAAATATCATAAAAAAAAAATTAAAAAAATTAAAGAAGCCATGTCAAGTCAGAATGTGATGTAATAAGTTAGTAAGCTACGTATGATTGTTATTCATTTAAGATTATTAACAATAAGTAATTTACCTCCTGTATTGGTTCGACGTCGAGCTCATCCTCTGATACCGCAGATGATGTAGCTATTGACAGACTACCGATACTGTGAAGTTCGCACTTTTCCATTTCTTTTTCCAAGTCCCAAACCTCCTTCTCAGACCAGCTCGGCGCCTGCTCTGATCCGACTCCGGGTTCTCTTGGACCTTCAGGACTCACGCTGCGGCTCTGTAAAAGAAAACCAATAATAGGAAAATGAAATTTATACATCATTATATTTTATATTCATTGTTTTGGGTTGGCAAATAAGTCCTTTCGGTTTTTCAGGACGAAATAAAATTCGATGTATTATAGAGATAAAATTTATTTTAATCTATAATATATTGACCATTATTTAACATGACTTTTTCCCATCTTTCTAATAACTGCATAATGTCATGTTCATAGAATGTCTGGAGTTTATTGTTAAAAAAATTATCCAAGTGGTTTTTGATGTCCTCTTCCTTTTGGTATTTCATTCCATTCATGGAGGTTTGCAGAGACCGGAATAAGTGCTAGTCACTTGCACCACACCTAGGTGAATAGTGAGGGTGAGGCAAAAGGTCCCATTCAAGGATCAATAATTTATTATCAATAAACACAACACCTTCTGTCATTCATAACTCTTCAGCATGTTCTTCAAATTTGATGTTGCTATATTTGTTAGAAAGCTGAATTATTGCTCTTCAAAGCCGTATGAATGGCTTTTTGATTTAATGCCTACATAAGGAATAAATAAACAAAAACTCCTTATAGGTTTTTATTTTTTTTCACCATTTTTAGATTGTTTACGAAGGTGCTGTTGATGTAATTTTGTGCAGTTTAAAGTGGTCCTAAATTCCTACTAAATTTCTTGTAGATAGCTAAAGTCATATTCAAGCTATAACATTTTTTGTGATTTTCGATAGAAAAAAATTATTGAGGGACCCAAACATTAAGCCTGGAAACATAGCCGAGTTTGTTCAAATCATTTTCTACGCTTGTGTGCGACACATTTCGGGCCATAGCAATCTCTCGCACTGATTGCTATGGCCTGGTTGTGGGATTTTGATCAACAACGGCCTTAACATTGCTCGTTCCAATTTCATGTGAGTGACCAGACCGTTGAGCATTATTGATATCAAAATTTCATGAATGAAATTTGGCAAACTGAAATTTTGACAGGTGCGTTCAGTTAAGGAATCATCCCCATAAACACTGCAAATTTTTCTATGAGCTTCTGGAGCACACTTACCTTTTTTAAAATAATACAACAAAATATGCCGATAATGAATGATATTTTCTTGCATATTCACAGTGCAATAGCAAACACAATACTAATCTAGTTTCTAGAAGAGTTAACAGATATAGTTTTTGACATATTACAAACAGGATAAATAGTCCACCTTAGGGATTAATTCATCAGATAAAAAGTGCATAGTTACATAAAAATTAAAAAAATAAAACCAAAAGGACTTATTTCTCAACCCAATATTTATGTAAATTTATTAGAAATAAAACTATATTTTCAAGTTTATTTATTATCAGCCAATTTTACACCAATTTTTAAATTTTGTCAACTTAATGACTACACATCTAATTACAACGTTTCAGCTTGTTTTGCCATTTTCAAGTCTAAATTTTTTTTTTCAATTTACAATCATATTCATAAATTACATATTTCAAAAAATATAAAGATTCTTTTTATATACCTAAATACCCATCATGTACATGTCCTCTTCACTTATGCGAATTGCATGCGTCTACTCATAATAAAAATTTTTTATTCTTGTCGTGTCCATCTTTAATTATTATATGACATTATTATTACTCCATTCTTTCTTATTAAATGATTCAAATAAGTTAAAATTACCTTATCATGTGTCACCGACATGTCATCAGTCTCATTTCTATTCAGTGACTGGTTATTCTTAAAGGAGTAGGGGAAGACTATTTATTCTAAACATATAGAATGATGTTTCGCAATATTATATGCGGACATATTTTAAGTAATATTAGCTAATTCATTTCAAATTTTGATTTTTTCAATTGAACTCGCGTAAAATGTATTCATATTATCCACATCTGTATGATTATTTACCGAGTTTTTTAAATTTTTAGTTATGTATATTGCTTCCTTTATTCTACGTTTATTCGTATTACTTTTATTGTAAAATTGGCTGATAATAAATAAACTTGAAAATAAATAGTATGCACCGAAGAAGAATTGAGAAATATTGTAAAACTATATTATTATTTTAACTCCTATCTAAATAAATAATTAAAATAAATACCTTATCTTTTCTCTTATGATGAATCTCCTCAGAGATGAGTTCTAAACGCCTCAGTGATTGGGAGTATTCGAATTTGGCCTTTGATATTTCCGATTGTAGCTGCTCTATCCTTCTCTTTTGGGCATCGAGTTGGCTCTGGCAGACTGCTTTCTCATCGAAATAAGGTCGAGCTTTGAGGATACTACGTTTCAATTTCTGTTCCAATAATGATACCTGAGAACACATAAATTGAAATAAATACATTGCATTAAATATCTGAATGAACAATATTGTTGCTACATCAGTGCTACAAAGGGATTCTTTTTCTTTAATTTTATTTTTTTATTCACTAAATCTGTTATACTCAAACACTATTTCTGTTTCTTTAAATAAAATACTTAGCAATCATTTTATATAATCTGTGTATCTATAATCCACAGAAAGTATACATGATTAAGAAATTTTAAAAATAATAAATTCATTACCATTATTTAGTACAACTCTTTTTTTAATTAACACAACAACAAATTATTGGGCCCAGGCCGTCATATAGTAAATATATGATTGTGGGTTTATGGTTGACTGTAGTGAATAATTGAAGAGGAGGATGGTTGCGGTGTTCAGTGAAATTGAAATGGTAAAAAATAAAATTATTTATTTTTTACCATTTCAATTCGACTAAACAGCCCAACTATAGTAAATATGGCTACATGAAATACAGAAATATTTTTTTAAAATAATCACTATTTAGTGAAGTTTAAATTAATTTAACTTATAACATTAATAACAAACCTAAAATGAAAACTAAAACAAATACGGTCAAAAGTTTTAACTAAGGTTTATTAACTTTAAAATTATGAATGACTGGTTCAGGATGACTGGTACCTCCAGTCCGCTTAACATTGGACCAGCTTCCATTTTACAAATTATACAACTCTTCATTTAATTGTACTACTTGTTGCTCAAATTTATGTCTCGTAGCTGGACTCTAACATGTGCTAGATGATAAGATCACAGTGTATTTTAATGAATATAAAAATTTAATTTTAAGAGAAGTCTTACAGGAACTTCTCAGCCCGTCCAGCCCTGATGAAGGCCTGAACTTTAAATAAATATCATTTATAATTGGTAATTGGTTGACTGTCGTGGATAATGAAGAGAAGAATAGTTGGGGTGATCAGTCAAAAAGGAAGGCAAAAAATAAATGATAATATTTATTTTTTACATATGCTGACGTTTCGACCTGAAGTTCAGGCCTTCATCAGGGCTAAGAAAATAACCAGATAACAAGGTATGAGAAACATAAGTAGTGATGGTAAAAAAAAAAAATAAATAAAAAAAAAATAAAATAAATAAATATAAAGTAAAATGAAATTGTTAGAATAATGACTAAGAACTAAGAGATAAATAATAATAACCGTTACAGAGTGTGGAATGACGAAGTAGGCATAATCAAAAAGGGTGACATAAGTGTTACAATGGGAATCTTAGAATAAAATGTAAAACATAAAAAAGAAATATGAAGTTATATAAGAAATGAAAATAAATAGTAAAATTAAAACATTGATTAAGACATTCTTTAAATATCATTTATTTATTTTTGACTGAACACCTCAACCGATTTCTCGTCAATTATTCACTACAGTCAAGCATCATACAAATATTATAAAAATTTAATTCTTAATCAATTTAATAAATAAATTCATTAAAAAAAAATTACTAGAAAAAAGATCAGGATTTATGTTTTTCTTTTAATTTATGCCTCCTTTATCATAGTTATCAACCATGGCCTTGTCCTCTTGTAGTAATAATAATATATTTTTGTAGCAATAATAACTTACTAGTGTAAAACCCATTAGTTCTAAGAATTAATTATATTCCTATCATTATTAATATTAGCTAAGAAGTCAAAAAATAATTGATAAGAGAGCTGTTCATTAAAAATGATTTATCAATATACATTAATTTCTTACATAATTAAAAGGTTTAAAGGTTAAATTAAAATGTAAATGCTGATTCTATAATTATATTTAATATTTCATGTAACATATTTAATATTTAATTTGGAGATTTTGACATCAGGGGTTGAAACCAATATGGAACTTTAAAATTTTTTTTTCTTTAATATTAATTGGCTTGATGTTACAGGATTGAAATTTAATATCACAAAAAATATGTCTTCCTGTATATTCCTTTATTTTTCACTTGCAGCCTATTTCGATCTTTTATCAGACCTTCATCATATTAACTGATGGTGGTCCTCCTTTCCTGTTTGTCAAACGAGCAGGGGAGGAGCAAGTACAATTTGACAAGCAGGAGAGGAGAACCACCATCAGTTAGCCGGATGAAGATCTGATAAAAGACTGAAACCGATTGCACAAAAGTGAAAAATAAAGGAATATACAGGAAAATATTTTTTTTGTAAAATTATTTTTTTTCTTTGAAACTTTTTACAAAAAAAAGTTTTTAAAATAAATGTTCTAAGGAACTTTTTTGCAATAAAGTTTAACTTTTATTTATTTTAGTTCTTAAAAAAAAGTTACGTTAAATGAGAAATAAACAGTAATTAGATTAGATCATTTATCTTAAATGAATTACTTGATTCTTATGTGTTGTTTGTTTGAGTACTAAGAATAAAAGCTATTTTTTAAGATAGAATTTTGGTAAAATGAGAAGAACTTTTAAATAAGTTTTTTTTTTTTGGTAAAAGTTCTGAAAAACATTTACTTAAGATTTCACAAGGAGAAAAGTTTTATTTCCGAAATAAGTGATAAAAAATTGAAAATAAAGATTCCAGTCTTATCTGATTAAAAATAAAACTTATAATTTCATGTCAAGTCCTTCTTTAGTTAAAAAAAAAAATCTTTAACTATTTTAATTTTAGCAGAAGTTAGTTGGGGGTGCAGTGAAAAATACTATATTTATTGCATTGTCCAACATTTTGACCAATGTTTTAGGTCTTCTTCAGGGCTCTTAAATAAGATACAAACAAAATATATTTAGTTATAAGAATATCACCCACTTACACTTTATCAGCAACAAACCAACAATTACTTTTACAACCGATTGGTATCTTTCTACCTGTCAGTTTCTAGACCCTTACTTTTACCTACCGACATCAGGCCGTCAGTCACTGAACTGCCTTTAGCAGTGCCAGACGGTATATTTTGACTTTTATTATTATTTTTATTGTTAATATACCTACTACCTATTACCCTTAATATACTCCAGATATCCTAGTAATCAATTACCTTTCCAAATTGAACTGAATGTCAATAGTCACCTTCATTTACTGCAACATTCTATAATTAATATATATTGTTTATATATTTATATTTTGTTTGTATCTCATATAGCCCTGAAGAAGACAGACAACATAGGTTGAAACATTGGACAATGCTATAAATATACTATTATATAATATATTATTTTTTGATTGCACTTCCGACCAACTTCTTTTGAAATTAGAATCTACGATCAACCATGCCATTTTAACTATTTTATATTTCTGAAATTTCAATATACCTGCTTTATAACAAAAAATGGCATTATAACTTTTCAACAAATCCTACTTAGATATATTATTATGCGTAACCTTTTTTATTGTCAAATTTATGAAGCGATAAAGTATCAAGAAATTGTGAAAGTTTTAAATAAATATTAAAAAATATATTTATATTATTAATAATATCAAAATATGCTCACCCTCTGTTCTGCAACGTGAAACAAAGCAGCCCTCTTCTGGTGTTCTTGACCACTCTGCGCCTTCTGGTACTCGGCCTCTGTAACCTTTATAAGTAAAGAAATGTGTTAATTAATTGGATATAAACACTTTAATAAATTTAAAGAACCTAATGCTATATTATGAGAAAAAAACATCCATAGTACAATAGCTTAATGTTGCATAATTGAATTAACAAAAGATAAAATTACCTTAATAGTTGCATGATTTAACATTTCCTGCCAAGCATTGTCGAATTTCCATTCGTGCTGCTTGCTCATGAATCTTGCTTCTGCCAGCGCTACAGTCTCTTTCGCTGCCTGGTGGATCTCTGCATAGAAAAAATTATTATGTTAGAGTTTGAAGATTTAGAAAAAAAAAATGAGAAAATAACAAATGTGAATAATTCACATATCAAATTTGTCAGTGACAAACAAAATAGAGTAAACAGTGATGGACATGGCTAAGGAAATTTTTGTCATTTTTGGCTTATGCCACCATAATTTTTATAGTTATAAACTCTTCAATTTGGAATCTCTAGGGTTTCCTTTTTCTATTTAACATTTTAAAATTGAAAAAATATTCAGTTACCTAGGTGTAATCTCTATTTAAAAAAACACACTTTTTTGCACTAGTGATGGACATCCCAAAATTCAATTGTTCTAGCAATGGACATATCTCAGAAAAATTCTACAATCTTTATTTAACTATAGAGATAATATAACATAAATGTTCAACTTAGTCTTAACAAAGCAGTTAGTAGGAAGATATGAAACACACTGATCTCAAGAACACTATGAAAAAAACAATGATAGCTATTTTAAAATTTTCTTTTGGGAACTTTATTCATGAACCGGAACTTATAAATCAACAAGGAAGCTTATTACTTACATTTAAAGTCCAATCTGCCCATCACTGGTATGTTCACCCTAATGGTCCAATTTTAATTAAAAAAATTTTCCCGCTCTGCAAGTAATTTAATAAACTTTCAACTGATAATGGGTGTGAGGTACCTTAAATTGTAAGGACGGATGGGCGAGGAGAGTGCCTATTTCCAGACATCGTTGGTTTGATTTCCATCTTGGTCAGAAGGACCACTTGCTAATCGACTAGTTAACAGTACAAGTACCAGCACCATAAATTGTATAATTTTTTAGTTATACTTGCCAAAGCCGGGTACGAAACCGAAACCCAGAGCATAGGAGCTGTCTAAAAATTACACAAGTGGTCGAAGCGGTGTTGAACATTAAAGGAGGATTTTTTATTGAATATGTATATATCTATAGTGAATCAGGGTAGCGCAGTGAATAAAGCACTGTGTGCCTATTTCAAGAGCCTGTGTTCGAGTCCAGCAGTGATAATTATTTATTCTATTTCATCAGCGTGGATAGACTCTGAGATCGGAAGACAGGTTCTACTCTGCTTTCAATTATTATTTTAGCTTTTACCTATACTAAGCTATAATATTAGTAAAATTAAATTTTTTATGGCACTATTTAAATTGTTTAACATCATAACTTTAGACAGCCTTTATCAGTTGGCTGACAGCTCAAAAGATAAAAAAACTTAGAGGTATGCATCCAGTCAGGCAGACATACATAATATATAAATATTAATGAAGAGAAGAATAGTTGGGGTGCTCAGTCAAAAAAAGGAAGGCAAAAAATAAATTATAATATTTATTTTTTACATATGCCATACATATCGGCATATGTAAAAAAAAAAAAATAAATAAATATTATAATTTATTTTTTGCCTTCCTTTTTTTGACTGAGCACCCCAACTATTCTTCTCTTCATTATCCACGACAGTCAACCAATTACCAATTATGTATAAATATTAAGTTTGAAAGATTCATAACAGCTTTTATTGTTGTTGATATAGAAACTAATGATTTCCTAAAAGTAAAAAAAAATATATTTTCAAAGTAAATTTCTTAAACCTACCATTAGCCCTTTGAAATTTCACAGCCGCAGACTGACATTCCAACTGGGCTTTTCTTGCGATATCGACAGCGGTATAGTAAGGTCTTGCTCTCTCGATACAAGAACCCAATTTACAACCCATCACTTTCAGACGCCTCGTAGAATCATTCATCAATATCCGGAAGGTAGTATTCGCTTCCTGAATATATATAAAAAAAAAAAATCTTTTTTTAGATAAGTTACTTTTAAATTCAGTACAATATATTATATAAAAATACAATTCTTAGACTTACATCGAGCTCAATTTCTAATTTGTTGATTAGGTCGGTGCTAGTATTGAGCTTCTCCAATTCAACCTGATAAAAAAAAAAACTATTTTTATTCGTGCAAACAATCACTGACTCATGGTTATAAAATGTTTTCCACATATAACAGTAAACATTTAAGTATTCATGAATGAAATTCTTATTCAAGAATAAGTGATTCATAAAAATTCTAGAGAGAATGACTAACATTCATAAATTAAAATACAATAAACAGGAAAACTAAACAAGAAAAAAATATATAAATATTATTGTTTCTAGTTTAATTTTAATGTTTACTACTTTACATTTGACTAATCAAAATTTATAGTCCTCAAACAATGATGGGGAAGTGATAAGGAACTCAAAGATTACAAACATTACCTAAACAAACAAAAAGATTGAGAGATATTTAAGAAAACTATGATGACAGATTATATTTATGTTTTAAGAAAAATATATACAATTCGAGTTCATTAGTATAGTGCTTTTTATTTTTTATCTATAATCGTAAACAAAAATAATACAAAAATATTTATTTCACAAGTCAGAAAAATAAATTCTGACCTTATTTTATATAAAATAACAGACAATTTATTTGTAATTTTGGTTTACAAAATAGAAACTTAAATATTATACTCTTTTACCTAATTTATTTCAATGCTGTCACGAGAAATGATAAGGATAAGTCGACCTGATTTCTAAGTAATTTTTTTTTTCAAATGACATTGGTTAAAAAAAAAGAAATAATAAATTACTTTTCCATAATGAACTTTAAGTTTTACAGAATCATTTAAAATATATAGTAATAAATTACAATAGATTAAATATTTTTTTTTCCATTAAAATCTGATTTAATGTTTTAATTATACTCTCTAATATGTATGAATTTTGATTAAAAAATAATGTTTCTTTGCCAATAGGTCAGTTGGTTAATAATCAAAATCAATTGATTATTTACATTGATAACCGTAGTTGTTTATGTTGAAGGATGAATGATAAAAGTTTAGAGGACTTTTCAATTGATTAAACCTAACAGAAAATAGAAAATCAGTTTGATCAAGACAGACAATTTATATTGACATCTGAAGAGTTAGATTCGATTCAAAGAGATTTATGGGTTCAATAAAACTTTTACAACTGATAACTTTACTGAATAATAATAAAGAAAAGTTATTGAGACTTGATAATAAAATTGAAATCGGATATATATTAAAAGTGTTTTTTAAAAATAACATTGATATTCAATGAACATTGAAGGTAACCTTTCAGTTTTTATATAATGGTTAAGTCCAATACTGTGTTGATAACAGATAGTCTTAAGTTTTTAGTATCATTTTAATACTTTAACAAACAGTTATGAAGTTGACAAACCTGTTTAAAAGTTATTAAACGATATAAATTTAGGATTTCTACTGTGTAAACTGTTCTTAATACTTAATGTTTGGCGATAGTATTAATAACGTATTATCATATATTTATTATTCAGGTAAATATGTGATCAATGTACTTCTTTACCTGAATTCTAGGATCCAATTCCGCACTTTCTTCGGCATGATCGGTTTCCGAAGAGACGTTATCCATTCTCGAAGGCTACGACGAACTGTCCCTTTTATTACCCGGATCGTCCGAAGAAGATACCCATATCCTCATGTTCCGACGACTTCGAGATAAACAACCGGTATTCCTACACGTCGGAGAACAACATCACGACATCTCCAACAAGCACTGACTGAACGGCCAAGGTCTCCCAACTCCTATACCCCCCACCAGTTTCTCAATCGATCCTCTTTCAGTTCGTCATTCTCTTCTCAATTCCTATTTCCTATTCTTTATTATATTCTCTTTAGTAGTAATAATCCTATTGTTGATACTCACTAATTTATTCTAAACAAATAGCTACCTCGGTAATTATTTACGAACGGTCCTCCTCTCGCCATCTTGGCTGAAGTGATGTTATGTCCCGTGTTCTGATAACGTTTACCAAATCTAGCACCAGAAAGCGCCACTATTGCGGAGGGGTTGTCTTGTCCCCTCCACCTTACCTCTGTTTTCAGTAAATATAGAAATTAGATCGTTTAGGTTATATATTACCCGCCTTTTTTTAAATTAACCATTCCTTACCCACCATTAAATAAGCATCGATTGAACACCCATTTCCATCTTATCCACATAATATTTTTATGCTTATACTTTTTATATATCCACATAATATATTTATGCTTATACTTTTTAGATATATTCTGTCATATTTTCAGTCTAATGTGCAGCATACTGTCTTAAACAATTTGTTAAACATTAAACAACTTCATTAACTTAAATTTTTAAATATTTGATGGTTGATCATTGTATATTTTAGATATTTAGATTGTATATATTCAATTTTTAAATACTTTATGCTTGACCATGCTATATTTTAGATTGTATGTACTAAAAAATTTACAATTTTCTATAAGTGTTTTAATGCTGGATAAGGGTTATGTTTTTCATTTATATGTTACTTAAATCTTCTAGCAATAAAACACATTTTCAGTCTACTGAGGTACATACTGGCATTACCAGATTCTAAGGGAAATGTTTCAGGATCATGTAGGAGAGCTCTAGCGATTCATTTAATTTAAAATAATCAAAGAAGAAAACACTACTGACATTCCTTTAAATCTGAACTTGTCAGCAACATAACGAGTTCTTAGCGATTGGTCCCTTGTATATTTCCCCTGGAACCGTACATTTTCTACATAATTAACTATGCCAATCATCATATCTGTATGATAGACAAGTATCTTAGCAACCTGTATATATATATAAAACGCAATGCTCCAAGAGGTATTTAGTTAAGCAGTAATCTTTTTCAAACATTAGCTAAATTATGTCAACTTGAGCCTGTAACATTTATAACAGATGCTTTTGAATATATTTTTATCTATGCATCTCAATTATTCACATTTGGTTATTATAATTTCTAAATTGTCTTAATCTCCAATCCAATTTAAATTATCTGACCAGTTATCCCTAGCCATTTCCATTGCTGTCTACTTACATTATCTGTATCTACTTTTAGATAGATATATAGAAAAAAAAACTTTATTCTGGGACTAAGTCCCTTCAGAATAACAATAATGTACAAAATAATAGGATATTACTGGTCTAAACGTTTGAAACAATAAATAAAATTGATAAAATAAAATAAAAAGTAAAGAAAACCTTAGGTGCGCAAGCTATATACAATACAGATAAAACTATGTACAGAGCATTTAAAATTATAAACAAAACAATTAAAACTATGAACATATCACTTGAACTATAAACAAAACTATAAAGTTAGAATGTGTTCATTTCATAAAAAAATAAAATTTTACTTGAATATACATACAAAAATAAACAGTTAATTATAATTGAATAGATAAAAGAAATGTATGTATTGAAATTCCTATGTCGATAGTATGAAATGCATGAACTATCTCTTATCAAGTATTATGATTATATGATTGCTACACAATACATATATAGTATTAATAGTTAGCTGGTATCTGACTGTTTTTGGAACAGGAATTGGAATATGAGGTTTTTGAATGTGTATAGGGGAGGGGCATGTCGAATTTTGATCAGGAGGGAATTCCAAAAGTTGACAGAGCGGGCTATAAAGGAATTTTGGAATGAGGCAGATCTATGAGAAGGGATGTATAGGTCAGAGGGTAGAGATCTTGTTAGGGAATAGATTGAGGACTTAAATTGGAGAAGGTTGTAGGCGTAAGAAGGACCGGTAATGATTTCATAAAGAAAAGTGCCTAGGAGTAAATATTGTCTTCTTAAGGAGGGGAAGAGCCAACCTAACTCAGTGTAGTGCATAACTTATTTATAAAGTGCATTTCAATTTTTTTCTTCCAAAGGAAGTGTCTTGTGTGTTAATTAGATATTTTTAATTGAATATTTTATTCACGAATAACTGTCCGTATAAAATAAATATATTTGTTTGCACAAAAGAATAAGATATTCTAGGTTACTTTTCCTTGGTCAATTTGATCATTACTGGTGGTAATTTATCCTTATTTGGACAATAAGTCATTCTCGATAGTTAAATTATTTACAGTCTTGAAATACATATAGAGAAACCTTAGGAAGAAATTAATAAACTCATTAAACAATGTCTGGAAAGTTTGAGGCTGGAAGCCAAAACATGAGATGAAGTAAAACCTAAATCTTTCATAGGTCTATACTTCATTTATATAACTAAGGGACATTTTACATTTTATGAAGAAGAAGGTAATGAGTTACGTCTGGCGGAATACACATGATGAAAATAACTTACACTTTCTTGCCTAATAAATCATTCTGACAGGATTCAGAAAAATTAATGAGACAATACAATATAAAAGTAGATACAGATAATGTAAGTAGACAGCAATGGAAATGGCTAGGGATAACTGGTCATCTGGTATTGCCAGTATGTACCTGAGTAGACTGAAAATGTGTTTTATTGCTAGAAGATTTAAGTAACATATAATTGATAAGTATAACCCTTATCCAGCATCAAAACCCTTATAGAAAATTGTTTAATTCTTCCTGAATTGTATTAATATTGGACATACTTAGATAATGTACAATTAGAGATAAAGTGTCACAATTAAAATAAAACTTAAGTTAATAAACTTCTTTCATTTATGATAAGGAAAGCGAAAAGCATTAATAATGCTGAATCTCGAAGCTAAAAAAACAAAAACGGGCAATATATAAACACTACAATTATAAATAATATTAGTAATATATAATGGTAAAAAAAATTGATGTAGGTAATATGTGTAAATAATAACATCTGAAATATAAAGTTTGGTTAATCGATATATTGAAGATACAAAGAAATCGACAAGTTAAAAAAAATGGTGGGCACTATATATTGTAAAGGTTACAATTGGTAATTATTTGTAATGAACGTAAGGTGGAGGGGACAAGACAACCCCTCCGCAATAGTGGCGCTTTCTGGTGCTAGATTTGGTAAACGTTATCAGAACACGGGACATAACATCACTTCAGCCAAGATACCTACCTCATTTAATTCAATACAAGTTGTTGCCAACAATGATTTGTTGGAAAAGGAGGTACTTAAAATTTAATTGGTATAGTTAAATGAATATACCATGATCTGGTTAATTATGGCAATTTACCATTCTACTTCATGTAGAAATCTTTCATTAAAGAAAGGAAAAGGAAAAATTACAGTGGGTATAATATATTCGTTTAAAACAATTAATTATTGTATGTTTTTACTACACGCCTAGTCTCTTAAAGTTAAGCGGTTTTTGTCAATGCCCATTTCTTTCGACGACTGGATATATTTTTATTTTAGGGTGACAAGACTTTTTATGTGTAAATCAATAATTTCATTTTCATACCACTTATTTTGAGCTAAGCTGTTCACACACGTACGTAAGCATAGATGCATAAGCACCCACACTGACCACTTAATTATTTGTATTCAAGAAATCCCAAAACGTGTATTTCTGTTGAACGATAATTGAATTCATGTTTGGTCAGATTGCAAAACTATCATTTCAAAACCATCTTAAATGTTAGATTTCAAATATTTTACATATAGTTCGCAATCATTTTAACCTTTAATTGCACCAAAGGTGTCTAAGAGGGGATTTCATGGAGCAGCCATCAAAATTTTTTAAGGGATACATTTTTATGGCGTTTCGAATATTTTTAAGGAGCCATGTTTTAGTGAACTTAAATTTGGACATACTTTTAAATTATGGAAAATGATGGAACAGCAAGTGTAATTGTATATAATCCACAATTGTTTTTTTCAATTATACATTCGCTTTTACTATTTTTGAGAAGAGGAGAGCAATAAAATATATCTTGGAATGGAGGGAGGGTATTCGCCATTTAGTGGGGGATGGGTAATACTGAATTTCACCACTTACTATGGTTATATTTAAAAAAAGCCCTTTTCTGTCATAAAGTTAAGAAAATATCCAATTTATAGAGACTGGGTGTATCCAAATAGGATCTCCCAACCCCAGGGTTGATCCACGAGTGATGAAACAGAATAAATAGTTATCAACTATCAGCCGGACTGGGTCCGAGACCCTGAGCTTTGGAAGTCAGTGACCTACCCAATGAGCAACTCCACTATCTTTTTTAGCAAAAACAAATGAATTAATAGTGACATGTAGGTTGACTACGGATATATAAAATAAGACAAAATGGCTCTAGTTCTGGACGAAACATAGTCCTTTAAAATAATTATGTTATAAAAACAATTCTCCACTCAAGCCATGTATGACAGTCACAGGCGGATCTACGGAGAGGGGAGCTTCGGGCTGAAGCTCCCCCCCCCAAAAAAAATGGTTAAATATAACCATACTTAAAGAAAAAATTTATCTCTAAACGTATCATTGTTTGTCTAATTACTCTTAATAGGACTAAAGGAATCACTTGATCACCATTTCATATAGGTAGTTAGTTTCTTTCTTTATTCCGAAGTAATTATCCTAATATATACATACAAAAAAAAAAAATCTGCTCTGCTCAGTCCCAACTGGCCCTTAACCAATAATGCGACTTTGTGAGAGACGCTGGGATCTCCTAGAGTTCTACCTTTCCTTCTACGAGCGGAGAAAAAGCCTCGATGTTCTTCTGAGTGAATGAATTTTGTTTAAAAATGTATAAAAGTATGCTTGCATTTAAGTTGTTATTTTTATTAGTTACTTTTTTTTTTTCTATTCATTT